TGACTATTGTAAGTAGTTTTGCTTTCCTAATATCCTTTTCAGCACTGTCATTATTGGTATAGAGGAATCCAACTGATTTTTGTATGTTAATCTTATACCCTGCCACTTTGCTGAATCCTCCAATGAGGTTTAATAGCTTTTTTTTTATACAGTCTTTGGGGTTTAATATGTATAGGATCATATTGTCTGCACATACAGTTTTACTTCACCTTTGTCAATTTGGATGCCTTTAATTTCCCTGTCTTGCTGTATAGCTTTGGCTAAGACTTCCAGGACAATACTGAGTAGGAGTCATGACAAAAGGTATCCTTGTCTGTTACTTGTTCGCAGAGGGAAGTCTTTCAGTTTCTCTCCATTGAGAGTAATGTAGGCTGTTGGTTTTGTATATATGCTCTTAATTATGTTGAGGAATTTCCCTTCAACTCCTACTTTGTTGAGTGTTTTTATCAGGAATGGATGTTGGATTTTGTCAAATGCCTTTTCTGCATCAATAGATATAATCATGTAGTTCTTTTCTGTTTTCTTATTTATAGGGTGGTTTTCATTGATTGTTTTTCTAATGTTGAACCATCCTTGCACCCCTGATATGAATCCTACTTGATCATGATGTATTAATGTAAAGTGCTGGAGGTGCTGTGTTAATGTGTTAATTTTGGATCTTTCTTCTTTTTGGATGTGCACATTTATTGTCTTCTCAGCACCACTTTTGCCGTTTCCCAAAGATTTTGGTATGTTGTGTTTTCATTCTCTGGGAAATTTCTGAATTCAGGTTTAATTTATTCTATTATCCAATAGCTTTAGGGTGTGTTCAGTTTCTATGTATTCAATTTTATTTCCTTGGTCTTCGTATTTTTGATTTCTAGTTTCATGTTCTTGTTGTCTGAAATGATGCTTTTTTAGTATTTTGATATTTGTAAATTTATGGAGGCTTGCTTTGTGACCTAACAGATTGTCAATTCTGGAGAATGCTCCATGTGGACTGGAAAAAGAATACATATTGTTGGGATGAATGCTCTGTACGCATCTATGAGGTCAAGTTGGTTGATTGTGCTGTTTAGTACCTCTGTAACTTTGTTGAGTTTCTTTCTGGTGGTTCTATCCCTTTTCAGAAGTGGTGTATTAAAACCTCCAACTATAATTGTAGATTTGTCTATTTCTTTCTTCAAGTCTATTAGAGTTTGCTTTATATATTTCGAGCTGTTTCATTGGGAGCATAAATATTTATTATGGTTCTGTTATATTGTTCAGTTGTCTCTTTAATCATGAAATAATGTCCATCTTTATCTGTTATGCTGATTTTTGTCTTAAAGTTTATTTTATCAGAGA